TCTTCTATTTCTTAGGTACCATAACCCCTTTATATAATTGATTTAAGAATTAATTATTCTATGCATTTTTAACTCTACCCCTCATCAAATTGTAAATACAACTTTAATAGTATCAACGCTTTTATTTTCATTTCTAATATCTTGTGATTTTCTAACATAATTGATCACTTAATTTATGTCACATTTTATGATAAAAACATGCACTAAAAATATATGCTCATAATTATGGATTTTAATCCAACAATCTCTCACTTGAGCAACATATGTTTCCTGTTAAATGTATAACCTTATAAGCTCAAAATTTATTATCATACAATAGGTATCCTATAACAATTTTGTCTATCAACTATATCCATATAAGATTAAAGTGGCCTTTATCATATCAATCATAACAAGACCCATAAATGGTCACTTATACAATCACAATCAAATGATATATATCAATCATGGAGTGTAGCATAGAAATTACATGCAATGTAAACCATGCAGGTCTATTTCCAACTGATACTCTTCAAACATTAGTAAGATCAAATTTTACCAAAACTAGAGTGTGGATAAAAGAAAATAAACTTTATTTCTATAGAAAACAACCTTAAAATAAATATCCTTAAACTTAAGTAACTGAAATTGTGTTTATAACAAAAGAGTATTTTAAAGTTACAAACTCTTACTACAACTGAATATCCTTAAATGATATTACATCCACATGAGCAGTGTGCTCACGAAATACCTAGGGTGATAGTTTCTTAGTAAACGTGAAATAATGAGTTTGTACCAATATTCTCTATAAACATAGAAAAACTCTTATTTTTCTTTAACAACCAAACACAAAATATTTGTGTTCTTAGACTTTAAAGTGTTTTTGTTGTATATGAAATAGAGGATTGCAATTTCGTTGTCACAAAACAATTCTAGTGATCTTTTTTATTAATCCATAATTAGCAGTTTATGTGACAATCTATATTTCAATAAATCGAAGTCTATAAACTTGATGATCTCTTACTTACTAGACCTCAGATATGCGATCATATAAATTTTTTTGTTCAAAGCATCGTATGAATCAAGTTAACTGCTATCCAAGGATTCATAACCTAATTTTTTAAATATATGCATTAGACTCTTTACTTATTTTGAAGCATAAGGAACATTTTTGCATTTCCTTGGTTTCAAAATCATCTTTAGGTCACTTATCAAGACTAAATTTGTTTCCTTTAGTAACAAACGATATTATTTGGTTTACTCTCACTCAACTTATGCATATACAATTTTCAACCAAATTCATCGAAAAAATAATCGAGATAATCACTTGTTGAAATTTGTTATACATCTAATGGGAGTCATACTTAAACTTATAAATGGGTTTTCTTATTTTGTATATCCTTATTTTGTATCATTAGACATAATTTATTTACACCGTATAAAACATCTTATCAATGTTATCATTGAGAAACAAAATTTTGAAATCCAACTTTTGTAATTCAAGATCAAATATGAGCGATAAGTATCATGATTATCATAAAAGAATATATCCTTTAGATACAAAATTAATGCATTCTTTTTGGGTATATCCTTTAGATACAATACATGTCTTATACTAGTCAGTATCACCCTTTGCATCCATCTTGGTTTTAAATATTCATTTGCAACCAATCATTTTTACACCTTCAAGTAATGAGACAAGTTCACAAAATTTGTTATCTTGTATAGAACTTATACTATTTTTTATGACATTAATACAATTTTGAGGTCTTAACTTTTATAATATGGCGAAAGTTTATTAGATAATCTTTCATCATTCCACTATCATTCTTATTTCTTGTAGAAATATAATATAATAATCTAAATAGCATTTCTTTATCTTGTGGATCTTCTTAATGACACTTGTTCTTTGAGATTGTTGAGTTTGTTCTTTCAAAATAATTTCTCATCTTAAACGGTGAGTTGTTCAAAATAACCTTGTTGAAATTCTAGATTCACTTCTTGATTAACATGTATAAACAAACTAAGAGGGTTTATTACTAAACTATTGCTTTTAATCAAAGCATATCACTAGAAAGAATATGTCAAAACAGAACTATAATTGGCTTTATTACCCCCAACCACAAGTCATTATTATCAGTAATTTCTAGAGTTAAGAAATCCACTAATTAAAAGTAAACAAAAAAATAATACTAATAAGGCTAAACTTTTATAGAATCCTAATTTTTGAACTTCATCAAAACGAGCATAATAAGAATCAATAATGTTTCCCTTGTGAGAAATATCAAGAAACTAAAAGAAAACATTTTAATCAAATAATTCTTAATGATTCTACACGATTTGATAATGACGTCATATGTTAGAACCAAGTCATTATAAACATGGAAAATTTAACCATGATTTAATCATGTCGGATCATCAAAAAATAAATACTAAATGCAAAAGCATACTATATCTAATTGGTAGATTGAAATCTTTGAATATTTCTTTGGTTGTGATCTTCAAAGAAGATAGAATTCTCGAGTATAAACTCTCTCATGAGATAAAAAAAATATGAGATCATCTATTTCTTGAGGATTTAAGAAACAATTATTGTCTGAACTTATAACTTTAATCCCTTATTAAATTATAAATACAACTTTAATATTATCTACACTTTTATTTTCATGATACTTCTAATACCTTATAACTTTATAATATAATTAGTCACCTAATCTATATCATATTTTATGATAATAATATAACTTAAAAATATGTGCTCATAGTCATGAATTTTAATACACGCACTACTCGATAGTCGTCGTAACTCATATTTTCTCAAACAGAGATTTTAATCCATATGCTCACATGCGAGAGCCTTGTCGCTCCACATTCAACAAGAAATGAAATGGTGAGCTCTTTATAGTTCATCCAAATATATTTTTCTTTTCAACATACTTATTCATTCCAAGCATTAACGTTACATTTTCTTGCGGTGTCACATGACACATTCTAATAGGCGTCATTTGTCCATCCTTTTTAATGGCATTGGAAAAAAATAAGGACTAATATGAGAAAAAATATTTTCATTAAATCTTACTTTGGACAAAAAATAAGTTAAAGGACTGAAGTGAAAAAACGGTATACTTTAAGGTGGCGTTTGGTTGGCATGAATCCCTTAGAATTGGTGGAAATTAGAATCCAATTCTACCACTTTTCCATGTTTGGTTCAAGTTTTCCAAGGAAATTGGAATCCATCATGGCTTCAACTTTCTATCAAATGAGGGAAAGTGAATTTCATCCAAGAATGGATGGAATTCAATTCCCTTGTTGGAGGGAATTGAAATTTGACCATACTACCATCATCAATCTTTTGGTAACTTATTCATATATTGAATAAAAATATTTTTTTATTAATCTGGGTCGAGTTTCTAATTCATATATTTGGGTCGGGTCAGGTGAAACTTTATTTTGGTCGGGTCGGGTCGGTTTTTTTAAGTGTGATATCCAGGTCGGGTCGAGTTAGGGTTTAGGGTGAAAAATAACCGACCCGAAAATATATATAATTTTACCTTATATATTTAAGAATAATTACAATAATATCCCTCTCTATATAATTTGTTTCAATTAAGTCACTATTTTTATTTAATAAAAATAAATTTTTTTTTATTTCGGGTCGGATTTCTAATTCATATATTCGGGTCGGGTCGGGTCGGGTGAAACTTTATTTTGTTCGAGTCGGGTTTTTTAAGTGTGATATTCGGGTCGAGTCGGGTCGGGTTTTTTTAAGTGTGATATTTGGGTCGGGTCAGGTTCGGGTTTAGGGTGAAAAAACCGGACCCGACCCGAAAAAATATATAATTTTATCTTATATATTTAGTAATAATTATAATAATACCCCTCTATATATAATTTTTTTCAATTAAGTCAATGTTTTCATTGAATAAAAATATTTTTTATTATTTCTTGTCGTGTTGGGTCGGGTTTCTAATTCATATATTGAATAAAAATAGTTTTTGATATATTTTTTTGTAACTAATTAACATACACCGATTAGAATGTATCGAAATATTGCTCTATCTTTTGGTAACTTATTAACATATTTTGATTGCGATGATTTTAACTTATGATGTTTATTAGCATGATTTTTATAATTTATTGAAATGAATAATCAATCAATAAAATGAAAATTTAATATTTTTAATTTTTTATAATATATTACTACATGTAAGTTGTAAAATAAACTAAAATAAAGCAAAAAAACAAGAAGGGCAATTATGTCATTTTACATTATTAAAATCAAATTTATCTGACATGTCTGCGAACCAAACAGAATATGGAATTGGATTCCAATTCCTGATAGATTCCAATTCATTCACATATTACAATTCCCTCATAAACATTTCAGCGAACCAAACGCTACCTAAGAATTAATCCACCCATTGAACCTGTGAATAAAGTGGTAAAATTTAGAGTCTAATTTTTTTTTATATAAGCTTATTATTATTTTGGGTAAATTATGTATTTAATATCTAAACCATTAGTTTTGATATGTTTTAGTACTTAAAATTTTAATTTTTTTCAAAATCATACCTAACGTTTAGTTTTTTATTTCATTTTAGTACCCCGCCGTTAAAAATTTAACGCGTATAGTACCTAAACTAGTCCGTTTTAGTACCTAAACTTTCAATCTTTTCAAAACTTAAACGTTAAAGTTTGAAAGGGTACTAAAATAAAGTAAAAAATAAAGTTTTTAACGACGTGATATTAAAAAAATAAACTTTATGTATGATTTGAAAAAAATTAAAACTTTAGGTACTATAAAACGGATTAAAACCAACAGTTTAAGTACTAAACACATGATTTACCCTATTCTTTCCACTACAGACGCGCATATAATGACTGCATATGAAGACTGCTCAATTATGTATTTATTTATTTATACATGCATTGTATTCTATCTTTGTTTTTAATTTTCTGACTGTCAGAGGTCTTTCAGGAAAACTACTCTCAACCTGGCGTTGAGGGCAGCCTACTACCGTACCTCCCCTTACCCCATTACATATGGGAATAAGGTTTTGTTGTTGTTGTATAGGTCAAACTTAAGAATACCAATTACACAGTGGTGTGGTAAACAAAAGCAGGAAGGCGAGGAGTTATAAGAACATCCAGTGGAGTTGCTTTAGGACTGGTCAATCCCGGCCCTTCACGCATGTCAACGGCATCACCTGCTGGCGTTTCAAAGTCGAACCAATGCAACAGATTGGCCAGTGCAAGGTGCAATATCTGAAGCGCAAACGAAACCCCAGGGCACATTCTTCTACCACTGCCGAAAGGAATCAGTTCAAAATTTTGTCCCCTCACATCAATATCTCTGTGGGTGGTCATAAACCTCCCAGGTCGGAATTCCAAAGGGTTTTCCCAGATGAGTGGATCGCATTGAATCTTTTGGAGGTTGAGAATAAGCCAAGTGCCGGCCGGAACATGGTATCCATCGACCGTGCAATCTTCAATTGCTTCATGGATCACAGAGAGAGGAACGGCAGGGTACAAACGCAGCGTTTCCTTGATCACGGATTGAAGGTAAACTAAGTTGTTGGTGTCTGATTCTGTAACCAACAGCCTGTTCTTACCGACATGGATGTCGAGTTCTTCTTGGACCTTGTTCAACGCATCACGGTTATTGAGTAATAAAGACAAAGCCCAAGTCATTGTTATCGACGTCGTATCTTCCGCCGCTAAGATTAGAGCCTGTCATATCATGTACCGTAACGAATATGTAAAAAATATATATATGAATATTTTTTAAAGGGTTATCTTTTTTATATTTGTACATTTTTGCAAATTTAAAAATTATTAAGATTTGATCACTTTGTTGTCGATTTATTAAGATTTTGTCACTTATATTATCAATTGTTACATTTTGCTCATTGTGTCATTAACTCATGTTAGTTTGATGACGTTGCATGCTAGTCAAAAGGGGATTAATTTTTAATTTAACCCCTGAACTTTAAATAGAATACTAATTTGATCATAAACTTCTGAAATAATATTAGTTTAAACTCTAAACTTTAGATAAAATATCAATTTGACTCATGAATTCGACCAAAGTCTTCTATCATCGACAGTCACGCAACACCACCGTCGTCATTGCCACCAACGGTTGGATCTAAAATCTTATAATTCACCTAGGTATGGAGGGATAGACAACAATAGTCGGTGACAATGATGGTCGATGTTGATAAACGGCGATGGTGGTGAGTGATAATGACGATGAGATATTTTTGTCAAATTTAGGGATCAAATTAATATTTTATCTGAACTTTGGGCGTCAAAATGATACTTTTTTTCTAAATTTTAAGGTCAAATTAGTAGTTTAAGGGTCAAATTAAAAATCAAATTCTTTTAACTAACATACCATGACATCGAACTAACTAAAACTAACAGCTCTGATCAAGATGTAACAATTAATAATGTAAGTGAATGAAATTAATGTAAATTATCGAAACTTAATATTTTTAAACTTAATACGTAAAATTATATAAATATGAAAGAAAAGTTCAATTTCAAAGGGGGAAAAATAAAAATTGTTTAAGAAATGAACGTACAAGACTAGTGGCTTTGTTGATGGTATCAGCAGCGTGCTGGTCTGCATCACGGAGAATAGACAGCATGACTCCCATGAAATCTTGCTCACTATTCGCCTCATCTGCAGCTCTCTTCTCCTTGTGCTCTTGTAGCCATTCCTCCACAACTTGGTCTAATTCTCTGGCTGTCTTCTTCATAAGCTTCTCGTCTCCACCTATGTCCAACCATCTCAGATACGGCAGCGCATCAGATACCACGAACCTCCCACTCAGTTCAAACAAGTCGTCCAACGACTTCTTCCATTTCACGGTTTCAACTCCTTCATAAGAATTCGATATTCGCTTCCCCACGATGATTTTCAGTATCACATTAAGAGTGACATCTTTGAACCATCTCTTCATCTCCACAAACACTTTATTAGTGTTGGGATCTCTCTTGTTGTTCCACAACTGGTACAGTTGTTGCAGGGATGTCTTTATCTCGGATTCACGAACGTGTTTGAGTGAGTCGAGCCTGTGATTCGAGAGGAGTTCGACCGTAGCGAACTTACGCACTTGACGCCAGTAAGGTCCATAAGGTGCGAAGCCGATCATGGCGTTGTTGTAACCCAAAAGTTCGGTGCTTGCGAGCTTAGGACGTGTGGCGAAAGCTTTGTCATTAATGGTGAGACATTCTCTAGCAATCTCCCAGCTGCTCACCACCAGAGCTCTATGGACTCCCAATTTGATGGTGAAGATCCTTCCACTTTTTTCGGCGATGTTAGCCAAGCTTATATGAGGAGGTTGCGGCCCTCCTAAGATGCGTAGGTGGCCAATAATTGGCCATGCTCCACCGGCTTCCTGTGCCGTTTTCTTCTGGCCTGTGTTCGATTTCCATATCCATAGAAAAGAGACTAGAAATAGAAGTGGGAAACCAATAATTGCAACAGTTGAAGTTGCAGTGAGTGAATGGAAATCATCCATGCCGGATGGCTACTTGATAATTTAAAAATGTAGGATTTATATGCGGTGGGTGGAAGATGAGGGACTTGGAATTTATAGGGCTACGATTTACGTGTCATGCCCCACTCCGGCTAGTTGCCTCCAAAACCAAATTTAAAAAATATAAAAAAAAAATTAAGGTGATTATAAAGTAGTATATGTTCTGAATACTCTAAATTATTTTACAATGAATGTTCAATCACTCTACTATAACCGCAAGTACTCGAACTCATAACTTTTAGAAACAACAATAATTTTTTTTAATTATTTATACAAGTTGATTCGTGAAAAAAAAATCTATTTTACCTAACCCTATGTCTAATTTATTGGCAAATGTAGTAAAAGCCGGCTGGAAAATGAATGTATAACATTTATAATATATTTTAATAATCTAGCGAATGATATTTCTAGAGTTTTCAAATGATATAATCCTAATGGTTTCGTAATCACTTACGTCTTTCAAATGACTAATTTGATATTTTTTTCTTACTAAAAACAGTGGCCCCTACCAATTAACAAATATCAGGCATCTTAAGTAAAGTAAAGGGTTTAAATTTTAATATTTATAAATAAAATAAATTGAATATGGGAGATCGTTATATTCTCTGTAATATTCATTCTAAATTAATAATTTAATAGATTAAATATCAATAATTAATTAAAAATACAGTATCCTTTAAGAAAATAGAAAAGGAGAGATGACGCATTATGTGTTTTCCGCTTGGATTTGTGACATATTCACTAAAATTACGTATTATGCACTTCGGGTATAATTACTAATTTCATCTATTTACTCTCTAAAAAAACTAAGTGTAAAGTATATAAGTGATTCTTATATTTTCGATTTATTTGATTTTGATCATTAGTTGAAAATAAAGAATTTTAATTTCTTTAAATTTTTGTCCGAAAAAAATTATTTACTTTTGTTTTTTGTCCGTCTTATTTTGATCAATGTGTCATTAACTCACGTTGCTTTGTTGATATGCCACATTAATAAAAATGACTAAATTTTAATTAATTCTTAAATTTTAAATAGAATACTAATCTAACCTTAAACTTTACATAAAATACTATTTAACTCCTAATATTTTTTTATAAAATATAAATTTTGAATCCATGTAAAGTTTTGGCCATCACTCATTATTGTTGCCAATATCTGCTAGTTGTTGTTTGACAAAATGTTAATCCGAGAAATAAAATAAGTAAATATTATTATGCCAATCAAACGAATCAAAATAAATAAAGAATTAAAGTAGAGAAATGAAATTTGTAACATCCCAAACTACGAGTTAGTGACTAAATTATAAGGAATTTGGAATTTGTTGATTAAAGTGGAAAAGTTGAATAGTTTAATGATTTAATTGAAAATATTTCCTAAAAGTTTATAGTAATTATCCAAAGAATTAAAGGGCAAAATAGTCGTTTAGCATGAAATATATTTTTCCCCAATTATATGAATGATTATCGTGGGGTGGGGAAGAGTTATCTACAAACTCTTCTTCCTTCTTCATCTTCTTTCTCCCGTGGAAGCTAGGCAAAGGTAAGGGTTTTCTATTTTGTTGATTATTTGTTGAATTAAAGGTTGAGTTTTGATTATTAGATGATAACTAAGCTTAAGGAAAGCTTAAGTTGTCTTATAATCAAAGGATGAAGAAGTTGTAAGAGATTAAAGAAAATGAGTTTTTATAAGAAATTATGGAAAAGAGTTGATAAGTTGAATTTGAAGTTAAATTTGACTTGTCATCATGCTAATTAAGGAATATGAAGTGATAGAATTGAAATTAGAACATGATGAAAATTTGGTATGATTATTGAAATTCATATGAGGGATAGGATTTTGAGATTAAAGATGGTTTTTATGGATATAAGTTGGTTTAAGTGATGGTAGTTGAGTTTAATGGCATGATAGGGATTTAAAATAGAAGAATTGATTGAAGAATTGATGATTTTCGGGCTTAAAATACAATTTCTGGGCAGAGGGAACCGATACCCTATAAAGGGGCATCGATTCCCCCTTGAACGAAAAAATCCAGTATGTTCAGGGGGTACTGATTCCCCCTGGGGGGGAATCGATTCCCCCCTAAATGGAAAATGAAATTATGGTTCGTAAAACTAGCTTAAGTTATTAACATCAAGTTTAAGGTTTAGGCTTCTGATGGTTGTTTTGAAATGTTATATTATGTAGATATTGAGCCTAAACAAGTTTTCGGAATAATCAAAGGACTGGGATTGAATCAAAGCAAGGCTAAGGTGAGTGCAATTTTAATTGTACTTATATTATTGAACGAACATTGGCTTGCAATGAGCCAATAATGGAGTTACTATGGTAAGAAGTGAGTCCTAAAATGTTATTTGAATTGTGATTCTTATGTTTGCATGAGTACACGAAAATGGGTACATGTGTTATACTTATTGTATATGTTACCTGAATTGAGTGAACACATATTAGTGTGACGAGCTATGTGAACTGGTTTAAGTAGTGGATGTGATTATATAAGTTGTATAATATAAATATGTGATATAAGGCAAAAGTTAAAGAATTATATGATATGAGATAAGATAAGATAGACACATGCTATTATAAGTGACTATAGAATCACGAACTATGTAAAATAGCAAGGATTTATGTGATAACAAGAGAAATGATATAAATTATATGAGTAAGATATATATATATATATATATATATATATATATCAGAATTGGTCTAACCAACTTATACGATTAGATGAAAAGTGGGATAAGTTAAATAACATTGATCTATAGTACAATATGAGAATAATATATAAACTAGGAGACATTGACAGAAGTGACTATACGAACATGTAAGATAAGTTATATGGGGAAAAGTTATGAGATTGAAAGAACATATAATATATGAGTCATATGGTAAAGACTTATGAAGCTATAGGAAAATGCTATGGAAACTATGTGATGATAAGTTATGAGAATATATATATAGGTAATAAGATATGTGAAATTGAATTAAGTAAATATATGAAATTAGAATATATATATTTAATGTGAAATAAGTGATTATGTAAAACTATGAGAAGTTATAGGACATTGATAATCGAATTATATGAAAGTATGTATATGGATACATGTATAAGTTATATGTTATCCTAAGTGCTATGTGATATATATATATGAACATATGTGAACAAAATATGATATACGTGTTTATATGAATGCATGAAAAAATGATACGATCTATGTGATTACAGGTATATTTGGTATATGCTACATAATATGAACTTATGTGTGATATGAGTTATATAACAAGAATCATATACAAACCATATGAGAATGAGTTATGATATTACATGGTTATATGATACAAGTGATGTGAACATATGAATATATGTCTATGAGAAGACATAAGAATAAGATGTAAACTATGTGACATGTGACATGTGAATGTGAATCATATGAAAATGTTTTACGTGTAAGTGAACTACGTGCCTATATGAATATGTGAAATGAGAGATGATATAAGCCATATGAAACGATCTACGTGAATACATGTACTGATGACACATGTGATATGATATGAGATATATGGTTACACATACATGTGGTATGTGACAGAAGAGAAAGAACAAGTGATATGAAATGTTATAAATGATAATGCCCATGTTATATGATATGAGAGCTATAGGTGTAGTTGGCATGCCAAAAGTCGAGGGTATTGTAGTCTTTCGGGACGTAGTGGTCCTACGGGACATATATAGCAGTTCTTCGGGACTAATATTGAACAAATGTTCGGTGCCCCATGAGGGAATTTATACGAGCTGTGGTGACAGCATTAGTGCACAACCTCAATGTACTCACATACCTCTGTTCTCAATAGTGTACATGGGCGAAATAAAGAAATAACAATGAATGTTATGTATATACTTTTAATGATATGAAATGTGATATGATTTATATGATGAAGTGTGTATTGATTGGTAAAATGTATGGTATTGTAGGATGATATATGTGCATGAGTGTATTTATTACATGCAAAGGTATATGATTCTGTTTGATATGATGATGTTAAATGATTATGCACTGTTAGAAGATAAGTTTCCATTATATGTTTATATGCCTCACTAAGTCATCGACTTAGCGTGTGATTGTTTCACACGTAGGTATGAAAAGCGAAAGGAGAAACAAAGAGTAACAAGACAGGTCAGTTCTCCTTACCAAAGATCAGATCAGAAATGTAGATCGAATTATATGTATTTTATTAGAAAGAATTCAGTTGGCTTGTAATAAATAAAGGATTTGTATTGGATACGCTCTGATCGAATTATATATATATATATATATATATATATATATATATATATATATATATATATATATATATATATGTAAATGGTATTTGTTCCCTATTTGTAATATGGAAATTTTAACATTTTGGATACTGTTCATACCGTATTTTACTGTTCATAAATACGCTTTTGTTTTCAAAATTTTATACCAAACACAATTGAACAATATATGATCTTATTTTCTTAAAATAAGTTCAAATGTCTTTGCTATTTTGTGCAAGTAAAGGTTTTGAAAAGTCAATGTGACACCTCGGACTCGTATCCGGGTCGGGTACGGGTTAGGGTGTTACAAAATTGGTTACTCGTTTGTAGATATAGAATTGAATGAGTAGACTCAGACAAACAAAAGAAGCATTTTTAAGGCCTCTATGAACAGTCTCCTTAAGATAGATTCGCTTTCTCCTCGGTGCTTTGAGTAACGTTGGACATCGATCTCCTAGGATACAACAACAAACGATCACAATAGTAAGAACAACCGTAGTGATCAGTCGAACATAATCTTGACTTTCTCTATCACCGGACAGAACAGGTCTAGAAGGAATTTCTAAGATTTGTGCCTTAACTAGCCTATATATAGAGGAGAGGAAATTAATCAAAAGGTTGTGACCTTTTGATGAAGAGTTAAGACCATTTGATGAAGAGATTTGTTGAAAAGTTAATAGATATAATTGAATCGATGCAACTTTAAATC